GAGTCAATCCTTACTCATGGCAACCTGGTACAGGGTTGAATACAGTGGGGAGGTTTTTTGTATGTGTGCTAAGTGTACAGAGAACCCTGGTGATGGGGTGGCCTGCTAGCCACAAGATAGGCCGTCTGAGCCCACCAGCCACACTGTGGGAAAAAGTCGAAGTGAGACTCATAAACCAACGGGGGCTCTGTCCTACAGGGTCTCTATGAGTCAGCATCAATTCAATGGAAGTGAGAGCTGAGTTTGGTCAGTATACAATACTCACTGCCATCAAGTCAATCCTAATTCACAATGACCCTATAGGGCAGAGCACAACTATCGCTTTCTCCCGTGGAGCGGCTGGTGGTTTCAAACGGGTGACCCTGGCTAGCAGCCCAATCTGTAACCCACTTCGCCATCAGGGCTCCCATGGTAAGTAGACACATAGCAAAAGAGTTGTTTCAATATTTCTAACATATATAATCCAATGACTTGAATTACATGCATCATGTAGCACAACCACCACCACTCTTCACAGTTGTTTGTTTTGTTTTGTTCTGTTTTTTTTTCACTTTTGCTTTTTCAAAGCACCAGGCCATTTGGCCATGGCACTAAGGCCCACCATAAATACCAGAGGTGAGCGAGAGGACAGAAGTGCAAACCTACCCTCTCCCTTGCGTTCACTGGAGGCAAAGGCCTCCCGGCCAGGGGACCTCTCCGGGATTACTGAGTGGGGGCAGGCGATAGGAGGCAAAGTCGAGTCTCTTAGAATAAAACTATAATCGACTCTGAGGGGAGACTCAAGCCCAAAAATCTAAGGTGCCCAAGAACGCATTCACGTTCCAAGTTCCACCTGGATTGTCTCTAAAGCGCACTGGGGTCAACATGATCAGTGCCCTCCTCTCCGTGGCATTCACGATCCAGACACTTTCCTCGCGGTCACAGACTGTGAGAAACGGGCAAGAACCTTTGAAAGATTCCAGTCAATCAGCATGCAAAAATCAACTAGGGACTAAGGTTCTGCCTCACTCTGTCTTCCATCCAAAGGCTGAGTACGTCGGTCTGGAGACCGTCCAAAGGATATTAACAGGTTCACGACTGGGCCTTCCAGGCTTTAAATACTGGTTCCACTCGGAATAGCAATAGCAGCCTCTCTCTGCTTCGCTGTGCTCAACCATAATTGGAATATACTATAATAATAGCACCTGATGCAGTGTAGCAACGATGAAACATACAACTGTCCTCTAGTTCCTAAATGCTTACTCCCCCGGCCCCCACTATCATGATCCCAATTCTACCTTACAAATCTGGCTGGACCAGAGGAAGTACATTGGTACAGATAGGAACTGGAAACAGGGAATCCAGGACAGATGGTCCCCTCAGAACCAGTGGTGAAAGTGGCGATACCCGGAGGGTGGAGGGAGGATGGGGTAGAATGGGGAAACCGATTACAGGGATCTACATATAACCTCCTCCCTGGGGGATGGATAACAGAAAAGTGGGTGAAGGGAGACGTCCGACAGTGTAAGACATGACAAAATAATTTATAAATTATCAAGGGTTCATGAGGGAAGGTGGGCGGGGAGGGAGGGGAAAAAATGAGGAGCTGATACCAAGGGCCCAAGTAGAAAGCAAATGTTTTGAGAATTATGATGGCAACAAATGTACAAATGTGCTTGATACAATGTATGTATGTATGGATTGTGGTAATAGTTGTAGGAGCCCCCAATAAAATGACTTTTAAAAAATAGCACCTGAAAAAATAAAATAAAAATTATAGCAGTACCAGCTTCATAGGACAAATAAAATAAAATGAAATCTCAGTGAAAGAGGTTAGCAAAAAGGCTGGTACATGATAAACACCCAGTAAAGATGTGCCACTTTGTCTAGTCTTTTCAGAGGTAACTTGAACCACCCACTCCCTAAATTGGATTGGCTACACTGCTACTATTTGACTGTGTCCTAATTACAGGCCTATAAATGTCTCTGAGGTGGGTGACAGTATCCTCATTTTAGAAGCTAAATCGTAGAGGTTTAGAGGGATGCAGAAACTCATCCAACCATCTCACTAAAAACTGCCTGCGATCAAGTCAATTCCAACTCAGACTCCTTGTGACCCCGTAGGACAGAACAGAACTGCCCCTGGGACTTTTCAAGACTGTCACTCTTGGAGGGAGTAGAAAGCCTCATCTGTCCACTACAGAGTGGCTGATGATTTCAAACTGCTAACTTTGTGGTTAGCAGTCCAAAGCATAACCCACTAAGCCACCAGGACTCCTGACCTATCCTTCCCCAATTCATAAGTGGCGGAACAGTAAGTTTTGATTGAGTCCCTTGCAAAGTTTACATTGTATCATCTGTCTCCAAAAGCTGAGAAATAGCTTTAATATTGTTTCAGTATTCTAAAATCACCACTTGTTGAATGAAATTAAAAGTTCACAAGAAAATGGAACTAAAATAAAATGGACTTTTCCCCCTAGAATTCTTTAATGCCTCCTCCCATGTTATCATAATACCTTGTAGCTACCATCCCCAAATAAGCACTATTATTAACTGACAAACTGATACACTATCAAAAAAATTCATTTTAACACATAATGAAACAAACATGAGGGCGTAAATCATCACACCTTTCTAATTAAATGGCTTCAAAAGTTCAAACGTACTGCAAACCCACAGTATAAAAGACAGGTTTTGTTTTTGTTTTTTCCAGGATTTGTAATTTGATCCTGTAGAAGAATCCATACACTTGAACTGGCCAGTGTAACATCTTTCTTTCGATATGTTTGGTAACGGTATGTGACAAAATTAACAAAGAGTTCATAGATACTCCCTGTATTATCTACCATCTCATATACTATTTAGCAAAACTCACAGTCGCTTAATTATACACACACACACCAAAAACTCCATAAATTTAAATCATAGTGATTATATCAGAGAAGAGCTTTTAAAAGCTGTAATACTCACACCCAAAAGCATGTCCACCAGTCAAGTTTATATGTACTAACACCTAAAAAGCCAACAGCTTCAAGAAATGAAAGAATAGCATCTTTGTCAGTTTTCTTTAGCCCCATCAAACGAGTTGGTTACCTGATTTCCTAACAACAGAAATTGTAACTGCTAAAAATCTATTAACCATTTCAAATAAAATACAAGTTTCACTTGTTTGTGATATGCATAAGACAAGTCATATATTTTCACTTCACTTTCTTTTTTGTTTAAGCCAGACATTACAAACTCTAGTCTTTTTGGTAAAGACAAATGAGACCTTAAAGCATGTAAATTAAATCAGGAGGAAACCTAAAAATGCCCACATATTCCCATAATTTATTACAATTTCTAGAACCTGAAACTCCAAGTATCAGAAAGCAGTAAGAATTACACATGACCGTAAAAGTCAAATATTTATACAGGTGTCTTAAAAGCCTGTCGGGTGCACACCATCAGCACTGACATTTACTATCTGTTAAGTAGTTTCAAAGTGCAATGGCATAAGTTAAATAACTGGTTTGAAGCGTGAAGTTTGACAACGGCTAGTACCTCTGGAAAGACTATGAAGGTGTGATGCTTGTCATAAAGCTCATCAGGCAAGCAACAGGCAGGCCTGGCTGGAGCAAGGCAGAACCTCCACACAGGTGCCTTTTCTCATTTCAGGAGGGAAACCTAAACCGATACCTTCATAGATAATTTAGCAAGGATTGTCCCATCAATATATAATGTCATTTTATGTCTTTCTTATAATTGCTTTTTAATAGCGTTCAAAACCAATATGCCTAGGGCCAACGCAACTGAGAATATAAAGTATAAAGAAGCTATGCCAGCTTCAAATGAGGGAAAATAAGGATGTTTATAAGAGAAGCACATAAAAAGGTTCTAGAGCCCTAAGGCCACATTCCATAAAGAGATGGGAGGGCGAAAAAAAGTTTCAGAAATGATAAAAGTCCAAATGTTGGAGTTATTCCGGTGATACATTATTTAAACTTACAGTGAGAATACCTCCTTAATAGATTAGTTATAAGAAATTCTCCTTTTGAGGTTAAAAAGAAAGGGGCTTGGGGAAGAAACTTCAGAGAGGGACAACAGTTCAGCTAAATTTCAGCTCTTGAACTTCTTGAATGATGATTTTATTTTGCCTCTTTTCTTCATCTCCCGGAAGGCATTAAAAAATAAAAAAATTTTTTAAGTGTGCTGTGAACTAAAAAGAAACCATCCTGAAACACAAGTTAGGGCTTTCCTATCATAGCAAAGTTCGGTCTCCATGTTCTTGTCACCACTTGTTACTTCAAAGCAGAATCTGGTACTGTAGTCAGTTTGAGTTTTTAGGTGAAGAGTGTGCACCCAGGAGCAAGCCTTTCTAAAATCCGGGGGAGAGAGCCAGTTGGACCCACTTCCCCCCGGGGCTCAGAGAGGAACGTGGCTGGGACCCCTCGCCCCGCCACGTCCGGGAGCACCACCGCCTGGCCAGAGGCGCGCGGACAAGAACGCGGAGACGCGCAGGGAGCCCCGGACGCCCTGCCAGAGAGATGCCACAGGTGGCCTGACGGCCGGCTGGCTCCCCACCCTGCGCTTAAGTCTCCTCGGGGAGGCCCCGAGCCCACCCCCACCTCCCACAGGCCAAACGTGCCCCCCCCCCCAGCCTCAAGGAGCCCAACTTTAGTCGGAGGTGAGCTCAGAACTGGGTCCAGGTAGCAGCCCCTCTGGGTCCGTTAGCTGGACGCTGAGTGTCAGCCTAAGTACGGCGTGGCCACCCTGCCCTCCGGGACGGGAGAACCTAAGGTCCGGCTGGCGCTGAGAAGGGGGTGGGCAGTGGGGCGCCAGAAAGAGGCAGCTCTAGCAGGCCCCTCTGGGGCGCCCAGGGTGCTGGCACGGCCCCGCACCCGCTCCCGGAACCCCTCGGGCACCGGGGCCGGCACCGCCCCGCGCCCCACGCCCCCCGCGCGGCCAGCGGCCGGGTCTCCCGGACAACAGCGGCCGCCGCGCGCCCCAGCGGCTCCCGCGGCCACCGCCTGGCTGCCCACCTGTCCCGGGGGTCGATCCAGCTGGTCCTCCTGGTGTTGTGGTCGATGTAGAAAACCTTGCCGTCGTAGTCCCTGGCCTCCTCCCAGCCCCGGGGTAGCGGCAGCTGCCCGCTCCCGGCCCTCCTAGGCATGGTGGGCGGCCTCGCCGGCGAGCGGCGCCTCCATAGGGAGCGGGCGCGGGACGCAGCGAGGACGCGGGGCGCCGGCGAGGGGCTGCGGGCTCGGGACGCGGAGGGGCCACGCGAGGGGGCAGCTCAGGAAGCCCTGCTCTCAGCCCCGCTCGGGATCAGTCCACCATGTCTGCGTCGGAACAGGCGAGCGAACCCTCCTCCTCCCCGCCGCTGCCTCCGCCTCTTCCTCCTCCTCCGCCCCGTCCCCCTGCGGCCGCCGAGGGTCGCGGCGCCCAGGCTGCCCGAGCCGCCGCCTTCTGGGCTCGGATCCGAGAAGCTCGGCGGCGGCGGTGGGGGGCGGGCCTCGTCATTTGCATGCAATTAGCATGCGTCTGGTCCCACCCCCGCCAGCCCCGCCCCTCGCTGGGCTCATTTGCATGCACATTCCTAGCCGCCACATTCCTGAGCTTAACCCTGTCGCTCCCGGGCACGCGGTGGGGCGCGGGGGAGGGGAGGGTCCTGGAATGCGCGCCTCGCTCCCTCCCTGGTTTTGGCCCCCAAATAGCTCTCTTCCGACACATGCCGCGGGTTTGTAAGGTTTTTTCGGGACGTCTCGGCCACCTCCTCAACTTCTTTCCGTCTTCTGGGGAAACTACCGGACTTTGGAGAGGAAAAGGGTGGGGGGAGACTCCCGCTCGGAAGAAAAAGTCCCAGCAAACACCGAGGGCACAAAGGCTCCCCGGGCTCGCGGGGACTCTGGCCTGACCCTGGGAGGCTAGCGGGCCGCGCGCGCTCCCGGGCACGCAGTTGCCGCGCCTCCCCGCCAGCTCGGTGCGCTCCAGGCCACAGAAAACAAACCCCACGGCCTGAACCCCTGCCGCCGGGGAGGAGGACCTTCGACGTGGACGCATCCTGTATCTAGCCGCCTGTGCCAGGAAGTCCCCTCGAGCCCAGGGACGGCCTAGAGAGCGTCAGCGAAGCAAGAGGGGGGCAGGCTGCTCGGAGGCCTGGCTCTCCTAGGCCCCGACGCGTCCAGCTGGGAATGCCCATCTTCCTACATTCCATGACCATTTACTCCACGGCTACTACGAGCTGCTAGACGCCCAGTTAGGACTGGACATGGGGCTGCCGGTAGGACACAGCCCTGAGTGGCAGGGCTGGGAGGGGCTGAACTCGGAACATTTGGGACCCCCTGCCCCCAAATTCTCCTCCAACCCAGTCTACCCCGATGGCCTTCCGGTCCGAGCAGCTTCGTGTACAAACTCTCCTGGAAGTACAACCTCTCCTGGAAGGCCCCCGGGGTTCAGTCATTCATTCACTTTCTAGGATAAACTCATTAGACCGGGCTTTCAGAGCGTTTGGACAACCTCCACCTCCCCTGGGGGATTCACCCAACCACGGGGGAGCCTGCTGATATGACCCACCCGCACTGAGTGTGGGCTGGAAGATAACAAGCCCGGGAATCCCAAACCACCCTGCGGACATCTGCTCAAGTCGCTGCCATTGGGTCCATGTCCACTCATGGCCCGGCCTACAGAACAGCGTTAAACTGCCCCCCTGTGAGTTTCTGAGACAGTGAGTGTTTACAGAAGTGGTAAGCCTGATCTTTCTCCTTTGGAGAGGCTGGTGGTTCTGAGCTGCCAATCCTGCGGATCACAGCCCAAAGGGTAACCAGGACACCACCAGGGAGCCCTCAGGGCATCTGCAGTCAATCTTCAAAAATGGAGGGTGAGGCTTGGAGAGGAAGGGTAGAAGGCCTGGCCTTCTCCAGCGCCAGGGTCTAGGAGGGAGGAAGGGATTATTTGTTTGCACTTGCCACAGCGAAGGGAAGGAGGGGTGGGGCAAAACCTAAACCAAGAACTCAGCTCAGAACACCTGGGAATGAAGAACCTGGATGGGCAAAAGTTGAGCAAGAAGTCATTGAAGGAAAATGTGCTCCCTCACTAGAGCTGCCTCTATTACACTCAGAAACACTCTTAGGACACCTCGCCTGGTGACCAATACAGTGGATCGCATCATCTTTCTTTGCCAAAGATCTACTGGAGTCCACATAAAGTCTAATGTATCCGTTCCTAAAGCAGGAATCACCTTCACTGTCAGGTCCTACCTGCAACTCATCATGGGGCGGCCCCAGGACCAGACATTTTTGCAAGTGTGCATGAGTCTAGACTGAACAATGCAGGCTAACAGCAATGAACCAACCGTGTACTAGCTAGCCACCAATGATTCTGTTTTCTGGCCCTCAAATTTTCCTTCCCTTCTTTACGTTTTCTCTGGTGCCAGTAATCTCTGAAGATGAGCCCCCATAAACAAAGCCGCCGCCCACCCCAGCCCCATCATCCACATCCAAAGCCTAGGTATCCTGCAAACTATCACCAGAAATGAGAGTCGTTGTTAGCTGCTATTCAGTCAGCTCCCTGGTCCTGGCGCCCAGGTGTTCAGAGCAGAATGTTCCCTGGAGTTTCCCTGCCCACAATCTTTAAGGAAGTCGTTTGCCAGGATGTTCTTCTCCGGAGAGGCTGCACAGGCTCAAAGAACCAACCTCTCATAAGGAACTGTATGTGACCTCCTCCCTGGGGGATGGATAACAGAAAAGTGGGTGAAGGGAGACGTCGGACAGGGCAAGGTATGACAAAATACTAATTTATAAATTATCAAGGGCTCATGAGGGAGGGGGGAGCAGGGAGGGAGGGGGGAAATGAGAAACTAATGCCAGGGGCTTGAGTGGAGAGGAAACGTTTTTGAGAATGAGGAGGGCAATGAATGTACAAATGTGCTTTACACAATTGATGTATGTATGGATTGTGATAAGAGTTGTATGAGCCCCGAATAAAATGATTTAAAAAATAAACAATGTCAAACATGAAAAAAAAGAAAAAAATAATTGTTTGACTGAAATGTAAAAAAAAAAAAAAGAACCAACCTCTCTGTTAACAGCTCTTTGCAAACTCTACATCAAACAGACTCCTAGAAAGGGAAAACTCATTGCCTGACCAGCCTGTGCTGACTCATAGCGACCCAGTGGCGTAGCGTTTACATGTCAGGCTGCTAACCCCAAGATTAACAGTTCAAAACCACAAGCCACTCTGCCAGAGAAAGACAAGGCTTTCTACTCCCATAGAAAGTCTCAGAAACCCGCAGAGGCAGTTCTTCCCGTCCTGTGGGGTGGCTATGAGCTGGAATGACCATGAGGACAGTGGGTTGGGGTACACAACAGAACTGCCCTGTTGGATCCAGGGCTGTAGTCTTTCCCGAAGCAGACTGCCCCATACACATTGCTCCTGCTGAGCGGCAGCCAACCGGCAGGTTTTGGGTTGTTGTCCAAAAGGTTTATCACTAAAAAATAATTTTTTAATTTTAAAAAAAAGGTTTATCACTGTCCCATTAGGCCTACTTTGAAATGGAAAGTAGATAGCAAAAACCATTTTGGAAAATAAGTTAATTATGACTTATAGTTAAGCACTTGACTACTTATTGAAAGGTTAGTAGTTTGAATCCACACGGAAGCACCTCAGAGGATGATCTTATAGGATACAGTTGTACTCTGAAATACACTGCTTTGTCAACCACCTGGACCCTATGGAATCAACTTAATGACAACTGCTCTGTGTTTTATGAAAAGTTAAAATATACATACCTTTCATACAGCAATTCCTGGATCATGATTTTTACCTGTGGGTATTACATTTCCTCAAGATACACAGATATGCCTCGCTTGATGTCCACGAAACACTCTGTGAAATTGGATGTTGGTTGTATGGATACTGTCCTATATACATACAGATTCCATACGATATGTCGTTACAAATTAGTATAGCCCATTATATTAAAATGTTATGGGAATGGACCAGACAAAGCTCGAGAGGTGAGAAAAAGCATTTTCCCAGCAGCACCTAGGTAGACACAAAGGATATTACACAGGGAATCCAGGATAGATGACTCCTTCAGGACCAGTGGTGAGAGGGGCGATGTGGAGTAGAAAGGGGGAACCGATGACAAGAATCTACATATAACCTCCTCCATGGGGGAAGGATAGCAGAGGAGAGGGCAGAGGGAGACGTTGGATAGTGTAACTTATGACAAAACCATAATAATTTATGAATTATGAAGGGGTTCAGGAGGGAGTGGGGAGGGTGGGGGGAAATTAGCAACTGATATTAAGGGCTAAAGTAGAAGGCGAATGTTTTGAGAATGATGAGGGCAACTAATGTACATATGTGCTTGACGCAATGGATGGATGGATGGATTGTGATAAGAATTGTACTAGCCCCGAATAAAATAAGTAAAACAAAAAAAAGAGTGGTACACTCGGAGAGGCGGGTAGGGGACCAGGTTGTGGGTAGCTGCCGAACCCTTCTTGATGCAGCCTGTTCCTGATCATGTGCAACCTGATCAGTGTACATCCACCGGATCCAGGAGCCAAGAGCCTCCCAGTCAGGTGGGCGCCCATGGCTATGGATTGGGGGGGTGGGGGTGGGATGAGGGGAGCTGTGTCCTGCCAGTGAGCGGAATGAAGGGCTTGACAGCTGCTGAACAGGTGAATGGAGGCAGGAGGGGAGGAAGGCGGGGTGCATGAGGAAGCTAAGACTGGGACCACTCTGGGACTGCTTGTTTTTCCTGGGCGCTAACAGGGCTGCTTTCCCTTTAAAGAGAGAGGGAGAGAAAACCAGCTAGTGGGGCCACGGATGTAATAAGTGGCTAGATGTTGCCCAGAGGGACATTGCGGCATTGGAGGCCTGCACGTGGGTGTTTGTTGCAGTGTGTTTTATAATACTGAAACTGGAAAAACTACCCGTGTCCATCAGTAAGGTGCTCGTTAAATAAATCAGAGATACCATACACTACAGGCCTTACAAAAGCATTCACTAATAAACCTGGGTAAGCAAAAAAGTATTGCTGCTGGGATTCCAGGTCATACATGCATAGGTTTATTCCAGCAAAACAAGTTTAAACATGGCTCTGTGGTCAGTGGATGGCAATAGACGATGTCTCTCAGTGGTCTTCTTGTGTTAGTCTCATTG